AGTGTATTTATTCACTTGCTCAACATGCATCTAATCTTCTTCCTGAGTTATTGGGAAGGAGAGATGAGAAGAATCATCCTTTTTTCACATAGCCCTGTTTGCCATATTGCTTCCCTCACTACTTGGAAAAGGGCACCAACCTGTTCAGATGGCTGAAACTAGGGATGTTTGTAAAGCCAGGCAGGTTAATTGAAATGGACACCAGCATAATGTCTTTAGTCAGAGACTGACGCACCAGGTTTCAGATAACATAGAGGTACTACTTTTACCTGGAGTGACAAGTCAGCTCCTGGAGTTTGTGATAGCTTGTTTTGAGCTGAGTGGCTGATGCAAGTAATAGGAGAAGAGTACATTTTAGGAAATGTTTCATCATTGATGTGGAAATGAAATATGGAAAGACAAAATATCTCTGGATTATTTGTCTGCTTCAGTCAGATTTCAGCTGAGACCTGACTTGGGCGGTTTGCAAAGGATGGTGTGAATGGCTGTTTATCAAAGTTGACTTCCGTTTCACATTTTGAAACAAATGTAAAAAAATAAAATGTTAAATAAAAATAGATAAAAATGCATAGGCTTAATGCTTTTAAATGTTCAGTGTTTGAATATTTTGTGTTAGTTTTAGTAATGATTTTCATATTGTATCAATAGAAATAGGAGGTTAAAACCATGCCATACAATTTTTAATGTTCAGGGAAATGAATACATTTGTTTTATCCTAATGATGCATATATCTTCTTGCCTTAAAGGGCTAGATTTTATAAAGAAAACCCTAACCCTTGAAACTCTATCCAAGGCTCGTTTTTCCATCTAATGAATAGTAAAGTGCTTTAGGTTTTGCTTCTAAAGGATCAGTATTATAGTTTTAAATGTACAATCAAAACCATTCCTGAGTAATGAATCTCATTCTGTGACAGTTACTCGGCTCTTTCTTTCCTGTTTTAAGCCACAGTACTTCAGGATTATGCCTTTAGTTCTGAAAGTCCAAATCAGGTGCTTCAAGCTGTTCATGTTATAGCAGTCATGTTGTATTTCACATCTGCTGTTATTGATTCTCACTTCATTTATTTCATCATATTCCACTGATAGCAGCATGCTGCCTCTGATTTAATATCTCAGTGGTATTTTGGCAGTTTTATTAGGATGTATTTTATATTTTGAATCATAGAAGTGCACACTAGTGTGGTGGATCTAACATGCTTTTAAAGTCATTCACCTACCCTAGATTGATATTAAAGAATTAATTTTGAAGTTTTTATCAATTATTAGTTAAAAGCTCATTTTACAGGATTGTTCAAATACATATCAATTTTTGTGTGGTGATATAAAATTATTTATGGAACCAATGTGTTAGGCTATTTCAGTATACTCTGAAAAATCTGTTAATAAGATTAGGTAAGCTTAGTATGATCTGACTTCTGGGCACTTCTCAACAATCTGGGTTTTTTTGGTCTGCTCAGACATTAGTCTATGTAGGCTACGTGGCAGAGTTTTTAAAGCAGACCTACCTGCATTTCAGTAAATTGGTATATGTTAGAATAGAAATTCACAAAGAAAAAAATGCCAATTGAATATTTTTATTTCAATATGAAACTGCTATATTTTGAAATTTACTGTGAATTTAACATTTTTTTTCTTCAGTCTCTTCTGTAGTCTTATTTTTTCAGTGTTTTCTTTGCTGGCTATGTCCTTCATCAAAATATCACGTAAGCAAGTGAAGTGAAATACATTGATCTGCCAAGGGACTTTTAAGAAGCAGGAAAGTGTAATATGTCTTGGTATGTTCATACATTTTTAGTTTATTAAAATAGGAGTTGTTTTAAATGAAATTAAAAAATTTAAATGCATCAGTGAAAGAGAAGGGAAACAAGATGTCTAATTCATGGTACCCTAGATTAAATGAAAAAAGAGGGAAGGGGATGTTTGCCATGTGTTTATAGTGTTACAGATGGATATGGGTACAGGGACAGCTCTTGTGGTTGCATCTGAAGCAGCGCTTCCCCACCTTCACAGGTGGTGGTGAGGCCTGGGGCAACTACACATTTGCGTAGGTGGTTTATGCTTCTCTTTCCTTGACTGTGATGCCTGTCAGTGGAGGGAGCACACCAGAGGATGCTGTATAGCTTGGGAACTGAGATTGCAGCCATCCTTCAGGGATGAGAACAATTTACACAGTATACACTCTCTAGGTTCAAAAATAATCTTGCATTCCCCTTGTTATAGAAGTTCTTTCATCTTTCCATGGCATTATTTTCCTTCTTCATCCTATGGATTAGTTTACTGATCTATTTACTCTGTAGAAGTGGGACTAAATAGCCCTGAAAGCCAAAGTTTCTTATTCTGCATGGGAGAAGCATGGTACTGATGTGACTGAAATATCCCCCTTTTGTCAGCTCTTAAGGGAAGAGATGATTCCTGCGTGAAGCTTTTTGAACTGACTTTTAGTTCTTGGCAGTAAAGCCAAGACACAATTGACGTCTGTCAGAAGTGAGTATAACTTAATTATGAAGACAATAAAAACAAGTTACATATTCAATAAATATCTTGCCCAGTTCTGGGTTTCCCAGAGCATTCTGTCTTTCTGCTACTCAGAATGAAAATCTTTCAGGGCTGGGGCTGTTTTTATGTAGTGACATTGCCAGGCACATTGGTAGTACTAATTAAGAAAGAATAGAAATATGCAGACTAGTAGTGTTACTGCAGCACGCTGGTAAAATAAACGCCCGGCAATAATAAATGGCAGCGCTATGAAGTTACTACCATTCTCACTTCCTATGCCATTTTCAGTCTGAACAACTTTTAAGCACAGTAACTGCAGAGATTATTATTTTTCTTCCAAGAGATATGAAGCAAAGTACAGATGACCCACATCTGGAAATTACTGAGATCAGCTTGCTCATATACCTTGGAAATGAGAGCTAGCAGGTTTTTCTACTTGTAAAATGTTCTCTCATCTGCAAGGTACTTCACTGTGATTCAGAGCTGGTCGGGGTAATACTGGGTGTGTTTGAAATCCAGACAACAAAACCCCACTTTCTTTCAAAAGCTATGCAATAATTTTGTTAATCTGGAATTCACTGTTAATTACTGAGCTAGCAGTGGTAACATTGTTATCTCCAGTGTCAACAGCAGGACTTATAAGTCATAAGAATTTAAAAATGTTTCTTGGTAATTTGTTTCTAAACAAGAAGCAGCCCAATGTGCATGTATTTTAAAAGTACTGTAAGTCTCCAGGATTTTTGTTTCAAACACTGATTTATTAGAAATGGGTAGAAGTCACGGAAGTTTGGAATGACCAATTTGAGAAAATGGTGCTTCCCCTCAAAAAGGTGATCTTTAAGGTGGTTGAAAACGTTTCCTCTGTCCTGTATGCAAAATCGTGGGGTGTCCTGCAGTTGTGGTAGCCCTTTGGATTTGTGTTGGCTTGTGTAGCCTCACTGACAACACCAACGTTGTATCATTCGATGGCATTTTTTTTCACTTGCCTTAAATGAATGGTGTCTTAGTCATGTTCCTTGTAGAGGGAGAAGAGAGGAAGGCAGAGGGAGAGCCAAAACCTAATTACTGATGTATCAATAAAAAATCCCTCCCAAACAAACAAACAAAACCCCAAATCAAAAAACCAACCCAAAACAAAGTAACCCTTGAAGCATGAGATTCAAAACACCAGGTGAAGCATATGGACAGGGTACAAGCAATGACAGTGCTGTGCTGGGTGATGTGTGAAGATGAAAGACACGTACTTGAAAGATATGTATTAACATGCCTCCCTTTACTGTATTGTAAATACAGCTGTGGGCAATGGTTCTGCTCTTATCCCTTTAAAACCTTTTGTTAGCTTCCCTTCCTCTAGTTTAACTTGCAGCTATTGAAATTAGGAGTCTTCATAGTAACAACTCTCCTAATTATTTATTAATTGATTAGTTTAGTCTTTCTTTTTAGTAATTTATTTGGTGGTTATTTAGTTATTGCTTAATTTATTTCATGGCCATTGGTGTGCACTGCGCTCACTTTTTTCTATCCAGTTTGAAGTCTTGGCATATTCATGCATGACAGACTCCTATAGAAACCTACTGTTTATTTCCCAATGTTCTAAAGGGAAAATTTATTAGCATAACTAGGTTTTCCTGTTGATCTGCTGAGGGAGTGCGGTACTGCTGGCAAATATTGTAAATATGCCTTATACAGGTTATTGTAGTGGCGTTTCATCTCCCTCGCCCTCCTTGTTTTTAATTCCATGAACTGAACAATTTTGCCTTCAGCCATCTATTAGATTGATGCATATTTGGAATCTGAAATTACTGTGGCACAGAAATATGTCAGAGCTAAAATGACCTTTTGCACTCCCATAGGGAAGACAAAGCCCGAAATATTTGATTTCCAGTTTTGTGCCTCCAACAGCAGGAACAGCTTCTTTTTCTCTTGCCTTGGAGACAAACCAAATTCTTTAGTAAGTGCAGCCTTACCTTATGAAAGAAGAGTGGTAAGACTGGGCACTGCTTATGGGGAGTGTGGGCAAGAGGCAGTGTACTTTCATACAGATGCTCTCGTAGATCCATCTGCCTTTGAGTATGGACAATTAGTTTTGACTGTCAAAAAAAAAAAAGTAGTAACAATACTTTTCTGCATTGTAACTTTTTAAAATGCTTAAGTATTCTTTACTCCTCCCATATAAGCATGAGGGGTATGCATGCTTATCTGTATATACATCAGAACAAATTATTTTCCTTGAAGTGTTAAGAACATTGTAAGTTACGGAAACTGTTCTTATTTTTCATTTTGTTTCTCCTTGTCTTCCCCTCTTATAAATTAAAGTGAAAGTATCTTTACCTGTAATGGATGTTTATTGTTCCTACACCAAAAAAAGCCCATCTAAAAAGCCGTATACTTAATTGCAGGTGACTTGCTTATAACTGGAATATTTCTGGGGTTATGTTTTCCACTTAGAGCTGGTGTGTTAAAGGAATTGTGCATGTGTTTTTTTTGTGTGGTTTTTTTTATAGGTAAAGATAGAGTTTTCAACACCCCCTTGTGTGAACAAGGAATTGTTGGCTTTGGTATTGGAGTTGCTGTCACAGGTGCTACAGCCATTGCAGAAATTCAGTTTGCAGATTACATTTTTCCAGCATTTGATCAGGTTAGTACTAATAAATTTGAGAGAAGAAATCTTATGACTTGTTAAATTACTCGTCTGTTAGCATTAATGCTTGGTTGGAATATGTAATTTTTGCAAATATATCCACAGCTGTATTACTAATATTAATGCATGCTTTAAGTAAACAGGAAAGTACCAAGGCCAGTTTGAAGGCTCATTAAATAATGGAAATTAAAGATGTGGTTTGAAGCAAATGTCTTTTTGTTTGTTTTTATTTCTGGTTTTGTGGCTGTGTTGGCTTCAGCAGCCTTAAATTCCTCAGCTGTGTCTTCCCTACACCATCTCTCACTTCTCTATGTTGCTGCAGCCAGCCATGTGTCCACAGGACAAACTACAGATTTGAACTGGGCTGATTGACAGTATGGGAATGGGGAAACAACTGGGTTGTATGGCTACTCCTGAGGCCTAAGCATCTAACTTGAATGCACTACATTATTGCTTCATTTCCCTTGGAAAATGTTTGCCTTTCCACTGATTTACAAGATTCTTTTACTTCTAATTTGGTCCTCTGAATCCCATGCATGGTGCAGATGATGTACTTACATCTCATGTATTGTAGAAGCTTAATGATGCATAACTAAAGGTATTGGACTGAATGTTACTTTTGTATATAAATCTTTCCAGATTGTTAACGAAGCAGCAAAATATCGTTACCGCTCTGGAGATCTGTTTGATTGTGGAAACCTCACCATCAGAGCCCCCTGGGGCTGTGTGGGTCATGGTGCACTGTATCATTCTCAAAGTCCAGAAGCTTTTTTTGCTCACTGTCCAGGAATAAAGGTACAGTAACTCTTATTTTATGAAGATTGATCTTGTTTGTTTGTTTTTTAATGGACCTGACTAACAATGAGTCTGTTGTCTGCACGTGGTCCTGGGCAACTGGCTCTAGGTGGCTCTGCTTGAGCAGAGGCATTGGACCAGATGACTGCTGGAGGACCCTGCCAACCTCATCTGTTCTGTGATTCTCTGAATGATAACTTTAAGCAAGCTTTCTGCGTGAGACGGTGGCATCCCTTGAAGCTAAGATTCCTAGCGCTTAGATGGATAACTCCTGGAGAAGAGGGAGGGGTGGGATCTAGTCATCTCAGATTGAGAACACTTTTTGCCAGCTCTCCATTTGTTTTCTGAGTAAATTTTTGTCTATGGACTTGTACTTCTGGGTTAACTGGCATCCAGTCCATTGAGAAATGACTCATAGCTTGATTAATGTGGAAGACTTAAGCAAAACCAGTATTTGCATGCTGAAGACACATGTTCACTGTTTATCTGTTGTTTAAACTACTGTCTATACATGATTTTGGTGTTCTAAAACTTCAGCTATTACTCATTACTCCCTGTGGGAGGCCATAGCCATTTCTCATATTTGTTTCTCTTTACTTAAATAAAAAAAAATCTTGTAGTATTCACATTTTATTTCATGATATTTGAGAAACAGAATGCATTTTTGTCTTTGGGTGTTCTTTATGATCTTTGAGATGTTCCTATTCTGAACTTGGAAATATTTCCTGATATAGACGAAAGCAACCTGCAAAGTGTTTTGCCATGTAATTGAATCAGTTTCTTGAGCTTGTTTAAAAACTAGAGTAGTTTATTATCATATGGAAGCACAAGATAACTTATTATTAAGATACTGATGCCAGGTCTAGCTAATTTATGCTGATCTTGTTGATCAATCTCAAATCTTTACATACTGAACCAAGTGCTGAGATTTAGTGGTCCACTCTGGTGGTTAAAACTTTCTAATTCATAGCAACCTAGTACTATTGTGCTTTGTCCTCTGAGTAAGTTTAGTAAGTCAGAATTTAATTTAATCACTCCAGTTAATTTTATTTCTTTTCTCTCATCTCTGATCTTTCTTCTTCTTGTTTTTTCCCTTTCTTTCACTTTTCCTTGGGTAAAGTGCTAAAATAGGTTGCTACCAGTAACAGCTGTCATCTCAGTTAAAGGTAAAGGGCATGCTAAATTCTGTGGAACTGATGAAACAATATACTGGTTTTTGATGCACAGAGAAGTATTTTAGACTTCATCTTCTGAATTCTGTATCTTTGTGGAAACAATGTTGCTCCTTTAATATTTTTTTGCAAAGCTATTCATTAATGCAGTTAATAATGCTTAAGGCTTTACCTTTCAGGTTGCAGGTCTTTTATTGGATGAACCCAAACCTAGCCCTTAACATACGAATCAAAAAATGCAAATGAACTTGTGGTTTAGACTCATTTGCAGAAGTCCCATATCTATGCATATTTTCTTTAAATTAGAAGAGGAAAGGCCATGTATTACAAGCTGGTAAAGGTAGGATTGATCTTTGGGGAGAGTAGTTTTCAGAACTGCCCTCTTACTAAACTCTGCGGCATGTTCCTGACAAGATTTTTATTTTGTGTTTTTTTTCTTAAGTGAAGGTTTGGATTTCCCAAGCAAAAGAGGCTTTGTACATCTTTGGCTGTTCAGGGGAAGGATTGTAATCATTAGTACTTGAGGCTTGTTGGTGTGACGAGGACATTGCTAGATGATTCTATCTTTTGTCTACTATTGTGAGGGTGTATGTCTTAATGGATCAGACTGTCTCCAAAATTACTGTATTGACTCTCTCTATTCCATTGTAAGACTGCTCCAGAATATTTGTCATCATGGCTAGAAGGTTTCTTTTAATTTCCAGCCTAAATTTGTTCCTGACTAACTTGCATATTTAACTTATCTGTCCTTCATTTTCACTTTCATATACTGAGAGAACAATTGTTTCCCCTTTAGTCTTTGTTTTCTTAGACTAAACAAATCAAACTATCAAAGAGATGTTAACATTTTCTGGAGCTCTTTTGGCACCTGTTTAATTAATTTTCTTTCAAAACAGTTGATATTGTCATGAAGTATTCCAGCTGAGTTTCTAGCAGTGATTTTTGCAATAGCACTAACACTTCCTTGGCTACATTACGCTTTTTTGGGGGCTGTACTGCATAGTGTCCTATAGTCATCCTTTGAGTAGATAATAAATTCAGATCTGAATTTCTACTGCTGAGTTCTAAATTTATAAAAAAAAGTAGTCCTTACATACTGAAAAGTCACACATTTATTGTTCAGTGTACTTTTGCTTTCGTCAGTTATGTCCTCAATGTGAACTAGGTCTTTTGGTATCATCCTCTGTGGTGGTAGCGACTCTCAGCTTTTGAATAGTTTTCATTGCCATGTTCTGACTTAACATCGTAAATGAATAAGGTAAATAAAGTCTGTCCTAAAAATGATCCCTAAGGAGCATTCATCAGTTGGGTAATTTCCCATGTGTCTGTTACCAAATGCTTTGTTGAAATATTAATAGACTGCTTTTTCCTTCTTTATAAAAATCACTTACCAAGTTAATTTGATGCGGTAGCAGATTTAGGTTGCATTTTGACTCTTTTTTTATTACTTTTATATAATTAAATGTTCTTACTTTCAAAAATTATTTGAAGCCTTGGAAACTCCTGGAGACAATAAGTTAACATGTCTGTAGTTACATGGATTTTTTTTTCTTTTTTTTTTTTTCTTTAAACAAGTGCTACAGCTAATGTTTTCAGTCAGAGGGGGCCACTTCTAACTTCACAGCTATAAAAATGTTTGCTAGTAGACTTCACGCTGCATGTGCCGGCTCTTTGAGCTCTCTGGGATGTAAATGAGCTTGTCCTTCTGATTTGAGGGAATTGATCTCAGGTTCTATTTTCATTTAAACTGTGATAATTTGGTAATTTTCTGTTCATAATCAGCATTCTCTTGGATCATCCAAAATTAACTCTTCTGTTGGCAAAGCAGTTATACTTTTTCCTTGCAAGTATTCAGATTACACCTGGAGGCCTTACTTAGTTTTGTCTTTGCTTGATAGTAGTTTCAGGTATTTTTTGGTATTTGTTTGTTTCCGAGATGAACAAATTTCAGGCTTCCACCATAAGAAAAGGAAGTAAACTTTAAATAGCTATTTTTGTGTTTAGTCTTCAAAACTTACTGGACTAAGTCCAAATACCTTCCAGGCCTGCTCTGATGAATCTTTACCCAAATAACTGAGAATCACTCAGCTGTATTTTTTTTGTCATACATCTATATTAATTTTACTAAACTAACATGTAAATTTTTTTTTAAATCTGATTGACTTTCTTCTGTTCTTTCTACCTCAAAATGTTATTGTTAGGGTGTTATTTCTACCTTATCAGATGGGAGTCCAATAGTATTTAAATCATGGTGTAGAAGGGAATTATTCAAGCCTCATCAATGAACAAAATAAAATTCAAAATTTGGAGCGTGTGTTAGTAATGTAGGACTGATGTTAATTCACCTTGTAAAAACTAGTCAATCTGTACGTAGGCTTATTTAAAGCAAATAATTGCTTGGTTTTGAATATTAATTGAGGAAGCTTGCAGCAGAATTGCAGTTTAAATAAACTATTTTAAAAATGTTTTTACAGATTGTAATTCCAAGGAGTCCTCTTCAGGCCAAAGGACTGCTGCTGTCTTGCATAGAGGACAAAAATCCATGCATATTCTTTGAACCTAAAATACTTTACAGAGCTGCAGGTAAAGACTCATATGCTATATTTTCCAATAAAGCAACACTGTTTTGGGGTTGGTTTGGTTTTTGGTTTTTGTTTTGGTTTTTGGGGTTTTTTTTTTTTTGCACATGTATGTTGATAGTCACAGTTAAAACAATACTGTAGCAGAAGTATTGACTTGTTTTGTCTCTAGCTATGTTTGGAGGTTGTGTTTTTAGAGGAATTGTGAAAACTGAGTAAGATCTCTAAATTTGGCTGCAAAGATAAATGAACAATTACAGTCCGAGTCATGCTCAGTTAACTTTGGAAGTGGAATGCTTTGTACAGTCTTGGGTTAAAAAAAAATAAAAATAAAAAAATAGAGCTGAGAGGCATCATCCTTTATCAAATTGCAATATAAATTTGACAGAAGTTGAACTGCTTTCTCTTTGATAACTCTAGATACTAAAATAAGTTTCCAGATCAGTTTTTATTTTTCCAAAAGAACTGAACATCACCATCACCATTTCCCCAAAGTTAAAATTTCCTTGAAGTGCTTTCATTTCTAAAAATCTTGAAAATCTGCCCTCTTAGACTTTAATCTTATGTGGAAGGAAGTGTGATTCCCTATACTTCTTTCATTTGTTTTAGTCATAGTGAACTTTTTGGTTCAAAGAAGTTTTAACAGCTATCATGATGCATAACATAGAAGAACAGAGTAATTTGAAGATGATAGTGCTTGACTTAGTTGTAAAAAAAATTAGCTTGTTACTTCTTTGGACTAGAGAAACTGGACTGAGAACAGATAATGGATGAAAACAAAATTTGCATGTGGAGATAGGCAGAGTGATTGGGTGAGCAACTGATAAAATTGAACTCAAGCCATCACTTACCTTCAGCATTTCTATGTCATACAGCTTTATATACCAACTATGCTTGAATCCAGCAATGCAGTTTATAAGTTGATTCTGTGTGTGGACTGAAGTTGAGCAAAGGACAAAATGTTTGTATTTCACTTTGGACCTTTTAACAGCACTTTTCTATCAGTGCATCCATTTTGTTAGTAAATTTATCCTCTTCCTAGAGGAGAGAACCAAAAAATAACAAGGGAAAGATTTAGAAAGCGGACATCAAAGCTACAAAAAAAAAGCGCAGAATAACTCAGGAACAAACAGGATATTTACCGGGGAAACTGCTTAATTGCTTTTATATTTTCAAAAAAGACCCAGAATTCCTGTTAGCAATATATTTTTAAAAGTGCAGCTATTTTTAGTGTGGTGTGATGTACCCAAAGGGTATTGCATTCCTTGCATTCAGTGTGTTTTGAGAGCTTACTGAAATTTAGCAATAAAGACCTCTGACCCTTCATTTAGATGAAGTAGTTTGGAAAATGAACTTGAGTCTTACAGTCCTGTTAAACAAAGGAAAAAAAATATGGAAATTTAAAATTCCTGTGTCCTTAAAACAACCCTTTCTTTCTTTCTTTTTCTTTTTTTTTTTCAGTATTTACAAGTCACAAATACAGACTGCAGAGTTAATGAAATACTTGCTTTCATAGTGGAATGAATGGCTGCACATCAATATCACAGTTTTTGAGAATATAGGGTGGTTTTTGTGTTTGAGGAAATGACTTGTAAAGCAATTGCTGGATTGTCTAGTGAACATAAATCAGCCTTGTGACTGAAATCTTGAGTAAAGATGTGCTGAAATAGTGGTTAATGTGGTTTATGTGCTGGTCAATAACCAACCGCAGCATTGCTGCGAAATGATGTTGGTAGTTTCTGAGACTGTGACTTCCTCCTACATTCCAATGGCCTGATTTTCAGAGATATTACCTACATTTTTGTCTTAAGATTTCTAAGAATATCAGTTTAGTGATGTAGGCTGAAATTTATAGTACATTTGTGTCAACATGTGATGATTGTAGGTAACTTCTTTCATTTTGAAGCAATTTTGAGTGGACTTTTTATTATTTCTATAATATAAAGCAGGAATATTTTATTGTGTGGAAGGGGTTTGATGTTCCTTTTATTTTCACCTTTTCCTCTGGCATCGTTAGTTCATCATCTTAACTGTTTGGCTGTCCTTTGTGGGTTGGGTCAGCTTGAGCTGGAAGAAGAGTGGTGCCTGGGAGTTTCTCCTAGAAAATTAATCTCTTGGAGTTCTTTATGCTGCTGGCCATGGGCAAGTTTTCTTGTAATTCCACTCCAGAAACAAAGTGGCCTGGTGAATTCAGAAATGGACCAGGGTCATCATGATTGTTTGTTTGGTCCTGACGCAGCAGCAATAAGACACAAGCCTGATAAACAAGAACTGGATAAATGGTGGAAAGAAGGATTTTAAAAATGCAACTGTCTTGTGTTTTGAGTAGAGCAAATTTTTATAATATACTATATGAATGTGTTCATTCTAGCAGGAGAAAGAAGATAGTACAGATTCAGAAATTCACTTACACAGAAAGCTTGAACTATACATGTATTTCTTGTCTCTTTCCATTAGTGTCTCAAAATACTAAAGGGTCTTCCCAAGACTGGGAACATGCAGGCTTTCCAAAACAAGAAGACAAAATCAGATGTCCTCTGTTGCTTTATTTATCTCCTCTCCTTTTTTGGGGGGCAGGGTGGGAGGAGTTACTGACTTCTACCAGAAACTTCCACTTTGACATTGATACATTTTTAGGGGAAAGACAGGATATTAATAGTATAATATGGTATAAAACCCTACCCAAGATTTGGGACCTCATTGTTCCAGACAAAAAATAATTTTCTTTATTTCCATGATGATGGCTAAGGCATTGAATGATGAAATTTTATTGCCCTTCCCAGAAATTTTTTTTTGTTCTAGCTTCATGTGAATAGATATGTTTGTTGCAGAGAGCTTCATGACTGATGTTACAGTGGGTGTGTAGGGACTTCATTGAAAAATAAAGGTGTCAAAGACGATAATGGGAAATAGTATTTTCTATCTGTAAAATTAATGTAGGCATTTGAGCTTCATCATTCTCCTCTAATGGAATTTTCTTTCTCCGTATGAGGCCTCCAAATAGCTACCCATGATATTTTGCTCAGAGTTGTTAATATCTTTGAAATTTCAGCTGAAAATAAGCTGTAGATGGGATAGTCTTTAAAACACAGGATATCTGTCCTTGTTCATGTGGGTTGAAGCTACTAATGCTTTGTTTAAAACAAATAAAATGAAAAAATGAACCAAACAAAAAAAGACAAAACCCCGCATCTGCTACACCTCAGACAAAGAAAAAACTAGGCCCTCTGCTTCTGCCCCCAGGTGTTGCTATTATTGTTGAAATTAGCTGTTGGATCCTAGTGATGGAAGGTAATGTATATCTAGCTTAGGATGTATAACCTGAAGTTGCTTTTTGAGAATGTTAAGTAGGGTGCCAGGTCATCGCTGTTTTATGGAAGCTTTTGTGCAGAACCAACCTTGTGATTTTGCATCTGATGCATCCCTTCAAGGAGCTATATAGGCCCACCAGTCGCTTTCAAGTTTTTTGGTTGTTTCTTTTTGTTGTTGATGACAGGGCAGGCTTTTCGAGATTCAAGAGCAGATTTTTTTCATAACAGTAAAGACATTGTACAAAAAAAAAAAAAGAAGACTCTTCCTTCATAAATGTTTTGAAACATAAGTCTGGTCTCCAAGGTAAATCAGAGCTGTAGCACAAATTATTTCAGTTTGACTATCACATGGATACTGTGATTGCTTGCTAATTTTTTTGGAATAATGAATTTAGCTGGATGTCTTCCCAAATGAACACAGATTTGCTTATACAAATGTGTTGTATGCTTATTGAGACATGAGGTAAAACTGTGTTATTAAATGAACATTAATTTCTATATGAATATTTGCTATCCAGACATGCCTTTGCCCATATAAGATACAAGAATAAAATTAGGCCTTAAATCTTCACCTTAGTCATCCCTGGGAGAAAGGTGAATATCTAAGTAGCATTGCCTTAAGTTCACCACATTCACACTGTGATGAACTGAAGACAAAAGGCAACTTCCAAAGTGAAGAACAGCTTTGCAAGAACATTTTGAAAACATTTTCAGTTCATTCAAGAAGTAACTCACACCTTAGATACCCAAGAGCCCTAGTAACACCAAAAGGAGGGAGTGGATTTAGAGCTAAGATCTTAAAGTTTGCCTGGGTGTCTGATAATAGTAAGTTTTAAAAGTTACAGAAGAGAAGTATCTATTTTGTTTGAATGAAATACAGTTAACTAGGTTTGTTTCTTGTCTTTATGTTTGTCTTCAGGTTTGTGTCTCTGTATTGTGTTTATAGCTTCTTTTTGTTTATCATCCCATTTGGCAAGGTCCTCCATCAGACAGTCTTACTGAAAGAAACACTCCCATGTTCCCCATACCCTTATCAATAAGTGGGACTGAGCAGGTTTGGTTCTTGTTACAGCCTCCCTCATTGTTGGTTAGGTTTGTGTCCCTGTGTGTTCTTCCTTATGGCTTCTCCCTCTTCCTATTATCCCGTTTTCCATTGAAAAGATCCTTGTCCAGACACCCTTAAGGGAGCAGGTGCTCCCTTCTTCCACATAGTCTTACAGTGGTCATCAGAAGTTTTATGTATGTTAATTTGCCTTGTATAAAATTAGAAAGGAGCAAAGAAATATAAGCCTTTCTGGGTAAATGTCCAGAGTTAAATATGCAAGTACACATATATAGAGAGAATTCTGTTGCTGATTAATTTATGAGATTATAGTGTTACTAAATGTGCTGTGGTGATGTCCCCCTAAATGTCAGAGATACTAAGAAAATATCTGAATTAAAAAGAAAAAGGAGGCTTTGATTTATAAAAAATAGTTAACAGCCTGTGCAGCGTCAAGAGCACATAATGATTATGAATCAAAGGAGAAGATGAGTCACCTTGACATTACCAGGTTTAGACATCTTGTGGAGAACCTACTCTGATGTTTTTTGACCTTTTCAGTTTCATTTAATTGTACTATATATGACATTGGTGGTGTAGAAATAAATACGACTTGCATCAGTGGTTGTTATAGAGACAAGACAGGTAAGATGAGAAAACGTGTTTTCTTTCTGCTGTTCAGATTGCTCTTTAGAAAAAGCAACAGATGGTGCAGCCTCTTAAAATTGACTTGCAATGGCCCTTTTCCTCTGATTATTACAACCTTTGTTAATTGCTTTATTTGAAATCTGTATTTGAAATATTTGATTTAAAATATTTTATTTATATCTTTAGTAATAGATGAATGGGCTGCTTTGTATAAACATTGTTATCCTGGTTTGGTTAATTATTATGGAAGAATATGCATAGAATAATTTCATATGCTACTTGTCATCATTTTTAGTGGAGGCAGGAGTTTTTGCAAAGGCATTTGAATAAAATCCTGCCAAATCTGGACTTCCCTATAAATTTTTGACAAGTTGGATTTTGCATTTAAAAGTGGCAGGAATTTTAGATGAGCTCATCCAATGGACATCTTGTTGCAGAAGAAATTGGTTAATTTGTGTAACTGTATATTTAATTTCCTTAAGTGGATAAAACCATTACACTAAGAAGGAGCTCTTTTTGTATCATGTACACCTTCCAGTTCTTCCTCTGGTGCATCCCACTGTCATTTCAAAACCTTTTCATTCACGTCAGCTGCCTGGGTTTCCACTCAAAGGTCTGGTGGCATCATTATAAGGTTTTTGTTCTCCAGGTGTCACGTACATGACAATCCCATGAAAAGTGATGCCAATTAGTATAGTTATGGGTTTTGTTATCTTTCAGGACCTCTACTTTCTTTAGCCTGAGGGTTTTACAATGTGCAATATCCACAGAAGCCTGGTCTGCTTTACTGTCAACCAGTAATGTGCAGTGAGCGAGGGCTGGATGTGCCTTTGCCCTCTTTATATCCCCACCCTATATTCCTTTAGGTGCCTGTTATTCAAATAAATTATTACAGGAAGACACTGATATTTTAATACATTAAAAATAATAGTTTGCAAAGAGATCTGATTTTGTGCTGTTTAAAAGCACCTTGTATTTAAATTTTTTTCTTTTTTCCTTGATTGAATGCATGTGTGTTCTTGAATTGTGCTAGAAAAAAAAATACCTGTTCTGTTTTTAGGGAGAATGATTTAGTTAATATGTATGTCTCCTCTGTGCCCATTCAGGTGAAGTGAGATGTCTCTAATGTAAGCATAGGCAAAAGCTTTTTTTACTGTGAGGGTGGTCAAACACAGGAACAGGTTGCCCAGAGAGGTTGTGGAGTCTCTGACCATGGAAACACTCAAAATGTGACTGGACATGGTCCTGAACAATCAGTTCGAGGTGACCTTGCTCTGAGCAGGTTGCTTGGACTAGGTGATCTCCAGAGGTTGCTTCCTACCTCAGCCATTCTGTGATTCTGTGAAATTTGTAGCACTTGTATATTGTTACTGCGAAAAAAAAAAAAAAAGAAGAATAAACTGCTGTGATTTTAAAACAATATTCACCATTTGATTTATTGAAAAGTTATGTTTATACATAACTTGTAAGCCAGGAAAAAACCTAGGTCATTCTACTTGTATTGGATCTGCCAAACCAATGAAGGAAAAATACAAACCACTTAATTTGTTGTGCTGGTATCACTCAGTAGGATTCTTTATCATAACTTAAAGAAGCAATTTTGTTCAGCAGGAACTCAGTAACTATTTTATGAACTATGAAATATATTAACAAAAAAAGTAGAGTGCCTTCTTTACAAATTGTTTTTGTGTATTTAGAGTTGAGTAAAATTCCCCCCCCTCCCCAATCACTGGGATTTATTTTAAGAAGTACTGTTTGACTTGCTGGTGCATAGACAAGTACGCCTTTAGATCAGAACAATATTTCTTTTAAAATATGATATGGATTTCTTCTATCACAGTTCTAATCATTAAACCAGTCAAGGTATAGTGTGTTGGAGCACTGATTCAAAACTAGCATGATTGACCTAACGTGTTTCCACCTGAAAACTAGTAAATGGGTCTTGAGTTGAGTGAAACCACCTCCAAAGTTTTCGAGAGGAAAAGATGTTTAATTTTTGTCTACTTCCTCTAATTGTGATGTATTTTTGTGACTAGATAACAATTTTTTCAAAGCAAAAACTTTTAGAGTAATTTAAAACTGCTATAATAACAAGTTCTTGTTGGCACTTTTTGTGTAGGTTCTGAAAACTTTTTCCCACTATTTAGACATAAAATTGTGGAGCATCATTCTTGGCAGATATCAGGAGGGTGCTGGCACAGCTTTTCCTTCTCACCTGAGTATTAAAGTATAATTTCAAGGCCCTCTTGATGCTTATTAGAATTAACTGCAGCTTTTACTTGAGATTTTTTTTATCAGTTGTAGCAGTGTCCATCTCCAAATCTGATGCTGATATTTTGACTTGGGGTACACCAGGACTTATTACTATCATTGTTGTGTATATGTGTATCTTATCGCTGTGGTATATAACATAAATTAAACACTACACTGAATGTGTTTGTAACAGTATAATTACAAATACTTTTAATTACAGCTAAGCCTTTGAAATAAAGGTTAATACTTAATGTGATTTTGGTCTATTGTTTTAAATGGCATTAAAATTGAAGAACACTTTTAGTGTATATATTTATGTGATAATATTGAATAATAAAGGAATCTAATGCTTATTTTTCCCTTTGTTTTTATTTATTCAGTGGAACAAGTCCCTGTGGAGCCCTACAACATTCCACTGTCTCAAGCTGAGGTGCTGCAGACAGGCAGTGATGTGACACTGGTTGCGTGGGGCACTCAGGTCAGTAAGGCTGTGACAAGCTATTTGTCATCCAGCAAAGCCAAAGCTAAGGGTTACATGATGTTTGAATAGTGTTACATTCAGGCTTAAGTGCCGGACAGTAAACTGCGTGCATCTTCCATTGCTATGTGCTTGAATAAATGATTGCCAGTGTTTATACGAAACCTGCTTTTTGTTGTGTAAGATTTTACTCATTTTCGGTTGAAGCTGACTCTGGAAATGTGGAAGAGGTACCTGTGCAGGAGGTTAATGATTTATCTGTGATTATGAAAGTGATATATTTAAGAATGGGGCAGTGAGATGTGATTCTGAGGAAGGCAATGGGAAAAGACAGTTCAAATTAGTAGTAGTATGCTGAAAAAGTATAGATTTTGCATTATTTTAAAAAGTGCAGTCTGGGGTTTCCTTTATACAGAGTGTTAAAATCTACTGAATATTTAATACAAATAGGGATCAATATAGTTTTGATTCCAACAGTTATATTTCAGAGCTGTCCAAGAATATGATTGGAACACCCCTACCCTCCCACCCTCCCACCCTCCCCATCAAGATGTGCAAATATTGAAAAATGTGGTAAAAAAAAAAAAAGTTCATTTTCAAGAATTATAGAAAAGAAATGTAAGTCTAGTTTGGAATTAGCAGAAAAATCTTTTTATTGCCTTTAACCTATGATTAAGAAGATTACTATTTTCCTGGCCTAATTATATCTGAGAAGTTTTTAGAGGATGGAGTGTTATTAACTTTCATCACAAGAGTAACGAATTGATCTTTGGGCTTGTGCCTTTTGGATTGTGGGTTTTTTTGGTGTGGTTTTTTTTTCTTTTTGTTTGAAATCTGTAATCTTCAGTGCTTTTCTGTGATATTTTCCTTGTCCTCGGACTACTTGATTTCCTTTATATTTATGTTTATCCCTACTAGTTGCTGATACTTTGCATGGTATTAAATTATGGACTCCTTCAATATTTTTACTTGTACTTGTTTCTCCAGTAGAAAAGTTTCTATAGTTCTGCCTGTTCCCTTTTGAAAGTGCAAATTTTTGTTCCGTTTGGATGAAATCTTAGTGTTCATCATATTCCCAGAAATTGAATTGATAAAGTAATGGTTTAAAAGCTGCCTGTGGAGACTTAATAATATCCTGAGTTCATCCAGTAGGCAGTAGTGCAGAGAGGACTTGGAGTGACATCCTTCAAAAAAACTATGTGCTTTGGAGCTTGGAAAATGTAGGCCAAGTGTTAAGACAGGAGGTTCTTTTGATGTGAAAAGTAATAGGACAGATGTGCAGCCCTAATCCAAATTTAGGAGCTGACCAAATCACGGGTGTGGCTGTATAATACAGCGTGGGGACACATATTTAGCGCATACACACTAAATGCAGCGTGCTCTGGATGTCTCAGGCTTCTGCAGATCAAATATGTTCCGTGAGTTTGTGCTGAGGGTGTTTGCAGGCTGCGTACAAAAACTTGGAACTTGATTGCTAAATGTGCAACCAATCCAGAGTTTATTGTCAATAGGCAGTGTGATTGCACGTACTCATGGGTTACTTCTCGTATGATTTTGGATGTCAGGTAGTTGCTTGGCAGCTGCTGCTCTGGTGGGGTTGCCTGATGCTTGCTTTCTTGGGTGGTACTAATGAGGGACGGTAAAGGCTTTTAGTTCCTCTCCAGTTGTGCTCAGTGTTTTATGGTTATTAACTAATCCTTATCCCCTGTGAACTAGGTAAACATTCTCACTTATACATCAGAGAAATGGCAAAAACATCCATCCCGTGTGTCATGTGGAAAATTCTCAAACCTTCTTATTACAGCAACAGATGTATTAAAAGTTTAAACAAAAGTACTGCAATCTATATATTCTTTTTATTATTACCACACTTCTATTGATTAACCTTTTAAAATAGGCTTTTGTTGTTTAGCTATTCATATCTGCATTATGTAGATGCATGTTTAAATTCTTGTTTCAGCATAGATTTTTGCTCTATGGAGAATTCAATGCTGCTGTCTGACCATCAGGCAACTGACACTGCCTGACCGTGTCCATATTAAATTCTGTTGCCTTCCAGACCAAGATGACCTCATCTAAATTGCTTATTGGAGATGGTCCTTGGCCTCCAACCCCTTACCTATGCTTAGAGGTTGCTCAATGGAGGTCATCTGCCTCTGTCCAAACCTGTATTATGAAATGTTCTAACAATAAGGAAAACATCAGAATTTATTGACAATGTCATATCAAGAAATTCTTTTTACCTTCATATCTCACAAGCAAATACTTTTTGCTGAGATACTTGTGGAGGATAATCTGAGTTGTTGCTATAACAGTTATTTTCTGTGTTGGAGCGTTTGCTTGCTAATGTTTGTTTTAGGGAAACCAAGGCTTACGATACGTTTTGCTTAAGTGTTGTATACCATAATGTCAAGATACAGTTTTGAATGTATGTAGTATTGCTTTTTTCTGTTCATATCATAACATAGCTTATCAAAAGGATGCCAATAGATGTGGATTGTTTTGCATCTACTTTGACACACTTACATGTGCTGCTAAATATATTCCTTGACTGGTGGATAGTATTCTAATGTATTCTAATTTAGTACAAGCCTCTTTAGCAAGAGGGGAGTACATTTTTGTTTTAGTAAAATGTTAATTATAACAATCAGATAATGCAACATTTGTACTGTTGGTATTAAACTGTGTTGGAAGACCAGTGAATGGTCATATTGTCATATTATTGCCAATATGCTTTGATTGTAGGGGTCAGGACTGGATGTTTACAGGTAATTTTTTACACGGTACTTACTCTCTCTTAACTGTTCATAAGATAATGCTTTGGAGATGATCACTTGGTAATCTACTGCACTTTCAGTAAATTGTAGTAAGTGTAGTTACTAGGACTATTTTTGAATGTACATAATGCTTCTTGCAGGTTTTCATGTGACTGCTACATCAAAATACATTACTCTGATATATTTGGGTCTTAGCTTAGTTACAGTCCTAAAAAACCCTTATCCTAAACCCCAAACTGACTAAAAATATAAAATGGTGAGGCCTGATACTGTTCACTGAAAGATACTTTTCTAGAAAGCAACAGTTCTGCATTGAAGTTAGTTTTTGAAATGGTGCTAAAATACTAGGAATAACATAAATAGTAAATAAGAATGAACTGAGTAATAAATGCTTATTATATTACTGAATAAAAAGGTTTCTGCTAAACATGCAGGTAATATGTTAAATCACTGCTTGTATTCAGTATGTGTAATTTAGAACATCTTAAACAGAAACTAAATGTTTACTTGGTCATAATACATTGCCTTTTCAGGTACATGTGATCAAAGAGGTGGCAGCAATGGCTCAAGAAAAGCTTGGTGTGTCCTGTGAAGTTATTGATCTGAGGACTATCTTACCCTGGGATACAGAGACTGTTTGTAAGGTAAGGAAATGATGTAAATTAATTTAAAAGCACAACAAACCAAAAAACCTCACTAATAACAACAATTTAAATGCAAATAATGATGTCTGTTCTTTAAGTTTTTTTTTAAAGGCCTACATTTTTTCTCTGTATTGTGTATATTCGGTATTTTTTGTTCTGTATCATATATATGAAGAGTAAACGTACGTTACATGAACCAAACATTTGCTTTAGCATTGAACAAGAATTACATTCCAGGGTTCAAAATAATCTTAGAATACAGGTTCTTTGCATTGAAGCAGAGGGCAGGATTTAATCATATTTGTGCTTGAAAGCTGCTTTTCCATGATTTCTGGCTCTTTATGTCATCTTTCCTGGTTTTGGATCTGAAAAGATCAGGTGAAATCTCTTTTCCCTGCTGTTATACACCAAGACCTTTATCTAGTTTTGGGTCTGCAGTAATGTGCCCTAGTTTTGTTTATCCATATTTCTAGAAATAAATGTTTTCATTTAAGGTATATGAATTCTTGGGCTGGGGAGAAAAGGCAGTATTTACTATTCTGAGACTATCTGGTTTGAAATTCATGGGTACTGTGAAGTCCTTGTCTGCTTTATGGGGGTCTTTGGTTTTGCAAAGAATTTTTTTCAAAGCACTGGGCAGCTGAAGCTGCCATTAGAATTTCCATATACTGAGAAACCATGGGAAGTGGTTATTGTACTTACATGTACCGTGGTCTGCTTACTTCCCCTGTGCCACACCCCTGTACTGCTTTCTCTTTAGCAGCTAACAGCTATTGGGAGGAAAGACCTTAAAGGAAATAGAAGGGGCAGTATTTTCCAAAAGTCTTTGTAAATGTAAGAAAGAATCCCAAGGTACACTTTCTAAAAGTACCATTTGGGAAATAAAAAAAAAAAAAAAAAACCCCAACAAAAAAACCCCCAAGAAAACCCAAACAAACTGGAGATCATGAAAGCGAAACTTTTTATCTGGAAAACTTGATTTCCTCCCTCCCAATTATCATCTAACTTTTTTTCCTGTTGTCCTGAATTAGCAATTTTTTGTGTGCATTATTTACAGTGCCTGTAATATTCCCCCCCCCTTTTTTTGACTTAGCTGTTTGAGGTACTTTTCACGTGATAAATACATGAATAAATGTAGATTCTGCAAAATAAATGTTATTATTGGTGTTTTGGGAGCACTCTTAGACAGGTCTTTTCCGTAACTATCTCATGAAAATTAGTCTGAAGTCTCTTCCCTGAAACCATTTTTTGTTAAGCTACTTGAGAACTATGAGAGAAGAGCTTCCACCTGATTGCTGTCCAACTGTGCTTTTGAACTGCAATGCTCTGAAAGGTTCTGCAGGTGCTTTTGTCTTTGGTTTATTTACAGCATTAACAATTAGAGCACGTCCAAAGGTTTACCCCTCACTTTACAGTAATGGCTCCCTTGATTTAAGCTTGGACAAATTGTGTGGCTTAGCAGAATGCTTGCTGCTTGTTCTGCGAGTTTCCTTAATCTGGCAAATCCACAGTCCTGCAGGACCATCGCTAACAACTCAATGGGTCCTATTTCAATCTCTGTACACTAGCTCATTTTATGCTGTTGATCAAATCACTCTGAAACTTGAGAGATGTCTGCAGCTTAGTTAACTCAGGCCTAGTAACTGTAGTGTACTGAGTTCAGATAACCGTAGGGATGAGAAGAGCCGTGGGCTTGAAAAAGGTGTGTGATTCCATCAAGTACCTTCTCTGCCTACAGTTTCTAATTTAAGGCAATATGGTATCATATCTACAGCTAAGTCAGATTGTACAGATGTTTAAGTAGGGCAGATCAGGCACACCTCCTTACCTGACTCTCTCTCTGTATTTGGAGTATCTTAATTGTGTAGACAAGTGTTTTGTCATTCTGTAGTCGCTCAGTAAGGGGCTCGCACTTGGTCAGGTGAAGTATAAGCAGAATAAGTGTGATGAAGGGAAAGATGAGCCATTGGTTTGCTACTCTATGGCAAAGCTTGTATTTCTCCACAGTATGAATTTCACTGTTACGTTTGTCTGAGGGTCTGCCAGTGGGACTGGATGGAGCAGGTTATGGGAGGTAAGATCCATGTTGGGCGCCTGCTGTTGGCAGTGTCCTGTTGTCCGGTTGTGGATGTGTAACATGTTGTGTACTTACACGCATAGCTATGTGTTGCTTCATATAAATTCGATCTTCTCAATTAAAGTGTTTTCAGTGCTTGTTTGCAGTGTATTTCATGTTACTTGGATGTACTTTCTATCTGTAAAAAAAGAAATGTGTTGAGTTGTTGTCATCAATATGAAGAGAAACTTTGGCAGTAATAAATGCGTTATAATCCCTTCTGGACAAGTAAAATTATTCCATTTTTTTCGCTAAATTTTTCTTCTTTAAAGATTTGAGCTGTCATTCTATGAAAACAAAGCAGGTCTTTGAAATAGCAGTTAAGTCTGTTTCATTGGACTGGACGTGCACCGAAACACTGTCAGGAAAAAATGCAGCTCTGCACAGAAAGTGCAGAGGTTTAGCTGTACAATGTTTTGCAAATGTGTACTTTAAAAATAGATACTCTGTGGAGATATTCAGCTTATGTTCCATTCTGAACATTTTTTAAAGTAACTGTGCCATAAATAAAGGGATGGAACAGATAGACGTGTTGCTTTAAATCTGTTAATGAGTTTACTATTAAGAATTAAGAGAGTTATTTCAGGACAAATATACTGCACATTGGTTAGGCAGTTCAGCTATTTATTATAATAAATACCAAATCGTAAATGTTTTTAGCATTGCTCTTATGTTAGTATGGCTGCAGGCTGGCCAGTCTGATGGGAGAAATGTTAAATTATCTTATGTAGATCTTGTCTGTTTTGCTCAGCTGAAAATAATTAGTGTTTGTATTTGGTTCTATGCAACACTGAAACTTTTAAACTTAATTGGCGTCCTGGACAGCTTTTAAAGTAATTGCCAACATAAATAGAAGGATGGAAGCTGTAGTTGTAACTGCTTGCTGTAGCTTCATCCCAAGAGGAACTGCTTGGTGCAGCTGTTGCAGATGACAGCAGCTTACATTGTCGGTTCTAGTGGTGGAACTTGTTATTCTCTTCCTGAAATGCCAGTGTCATGACCCAGAGAGCGGCAGAAAAGTTGGCCATGCCAGAGAAAGTCCTTGGCTGTCCCTTGGTCTGCTTAAGTCCTCTTCACAGGCTCTTAAATGATAACGGGATTGCTTTTACTCCAGTCTAACCAATAAGCAAATCCTCAGCTGTTACAAGCTGCCCTTTGCCTCAGACTATTACTTATGTCACTTTCCATAAATCTCAGGCCAAGTTTTTATGGTTTTCCTTGTCTTACATATGTGTTTGAAATATGTCTGTCATCTCCTTGTCCTGTTGGATGCAAAGGAAAAGGATGGTGCATGTGATAACGCTGCGTCCTTATTGCCGTTCTGCTGGTGCTGGGATGCATGGTCCTCTGCTGATGGGAGTCTGTGCTGTGATCTTACTGGAGAGCAGGACTTTGGGTTTTGATGTAAAAACACAACCCTCAGTTTTACTGCTGGGAATGGTGTCCGTTGTGATCAGTACAGGCAGTTATTTTAGTCCTCGGCCTGCTGTTGCTTTCGGTCCTTGCACATGCACATCTCTGTTCCCATGTCTTTCATACCAACCTTAACATACCTGTTACGATTCCCCGCGTTATTATGATTCTCCTGTCTGCTGGCTCTTTCTAGAAGGCAGAGAGCCTTATCTAGCTTCTTGTAGGCTGTGTGATTGTTCCTAATCGTGTGCCTAATGTTTGGGTTCCCTATGTTCCATATGGGTCAGTGTCGTGAAGCTTTAATAAAGGAATCAAATTTTACAGAAGTTGTATGCATTTGCCAGTCTAATATGTCTTACTCCGCAGGCTTATTTTATTCTTATGCTTCCCCAAGAAATGCTGTATTTTTATATAGAAATATTTCTGTGAATTTTCCTTATCAGTCTCTGTAATTTTTAAATAAAATCAAGGAGCTTCATGGTTGGTATTGGGGAATGAGCAGGGCTCATAACCTTAACTTAATTGTTGCTATCTTTAGAAATAAAATAACTTTTAACACTGAAGTTTTCAATGCAGCTATTTAAAAATGAGATGCTTTACTTAACTGGAAATATATGCAACTTTAAGACTATTTTGACAATTGTGGCGTAGGCATGAAGAAGGATGGGCTGAAATGGGTAGTGCTTTGGAGATGAGCAGTAATATGTCAAAATTTTCACTACAAACCTAACTGCTTACTCTGCTTTCTGTAGCTGTTTCTATATAGGAAATTAGGTCATAAAAATACATATTTCATAAAACTATGAGAAGTTATACTTCACAACTGCCACCAGAGGCCTCTTTTTAGCCAAGTTAAGCAGCTGCTTTGACTTTGCATTGCTCCTATGAGCATGTTTATGAATATATAGCTCTGAGTGAAACATAAATACACATAAATATAGTGAACATAAATTAAAATTGCTGCCTAATTTTACTGATATTTTCTTTGCATTTGTAAGATTTTGAGATTGTGTTCAGTTTTGAAATAGGTTAGCATTTGTCATCTGCCTGAGAAGGAGATGAGGGTGCACCTGCCTGGAGCAGACTGCCATGGGATTTGAGTGGATCCCAGCAGTAATTGAAATCTTTTCTTCAGTACAATTCCTGGGATGGGTAAACATGCAAACAGGGGCTAGATTTTTCTTTTGTCAATCTTCAAATGTGTAAGAATGAGTATTTAAATTTGAGCTAGTTACAGTAGCTCGTATAGCTATTCTAGAGAAAGGATATCTCCTGAGGGTCATTCATCCCAGCTATTTCAGCAGCCTGTTTTGGGATGAGATAATTGGCCTCTGCAAATCTCTTGGTTTAAGAGTTTTTGGTTTGTTTTTTTGGTGTGTGGTGTTGGTTTTTTTTTTTTTTTAAAAAAAATTAAGGGAACCCTAATTGAGTGTAATGTAAAGTCAGGTGAGATAAATTGCACCATCATTGT